GTCACTTTTTTTACACGTATCGTATATCTAAACACATTAACAATACTATACATTCCCAATAAAAATGCTGCATGATATCAGTCAAAGACTTCCAACAATGTCATATGTGGGATTGTCAGTCTGGGCAAGTAGATTCCCAATATCCTAACTACAAAATACAAAGCTGAAATACTCATGCAGGCTGACTGTAACTCAGATCAGTCCACAGCTTAAACCGACCACAAATGGATCAAAACTTGGCCGGTTCATCAAGGATCGGCCGAGATTCGATCCATGTATGAGCAGGCTGATTGTAGCCAAGTCGATCCATTTATCAACTTTGGTACAACCAGCCTGTCGAATTTTTCTGCATGCATTTACTGCCAGCAGTTATAGCTAGCAGTAATCATTTTATTCTGCCAGCACGTACATCAACCGTGGTGAAAAGAAAATCAATAGATTAATCCAGCCTTTCTCAACCACGGTGCCCAGGCACCTTGGGGTGCCTTGAGGTTTCTTCAGGGGTGCCTTGGCAAAATGTCTAAAAGTTGCCCAAAACTTGTATACAAGCCAGCGGGTGGAAGAAGCCTGACTTTTAGTTACACCAAGCCACAGGTTTTCATTGTGTGTGCCATTGCAACCTTCTAGCCACCAGTGTCCTGACGACCAATGACATCATCAGTTGATAAGGAGGATGTCAGTTGCACTGACAGAAACACTGTAATACTAGTCAGTACCAGTGTGCAAATATGTATTTGATTTGTAAAAATAAATCACCTCTAGTGTTGGGTGTCCTACATGTATGGATATTGCTGCGTTATATAAAACTATTAGAATAGTTTTTTTTACATTTTTTTAAAGGGTGCCTCGGGACTGTCCATAATTTTAGAGGGTGCCTTGAAATCGTCCATAATTTTAAAGGATGCTTTGATGGAAAAAAGGTTGAGAAACTCTGGATTAATCTACGGCTTGCCTTAGAGTATGGCATGTAATCAGTAGAGGGATAAAGCCAGATAAACAGTGATCAATCTTAGGTGATATCTGACTTTAAAGTGAACCAATAATCTCCACAAAACACTTGCTGACTGGACTTTTTGCACAATAAAGCAACCTCAATTAACTTAATGTTCATGTAAATTTTCCCAGTCACAAGCACTTGTCTTGAGATATTATTGGGCTGCCCCTTCTGAAATAGTATTTCCCCAGCTGTTAGGTTGACCCCCTGTCTTTAGTATTTTACTTATCCATTTTACTTGTCCAAGCTTACATATACTGTATATGTGGTTTTTTTTTAACTCGAAGAATTGAAGAAGGAAGCTCAGCATGACATCCAGTTAACTAACCTTTTCAGAGGGAGTGGTCAGCAATAGCAGACTCTATAGGGTTGATTTACTAAAACTGGAGAGTGCAAGATCTGGTGCAACTTTGCGCAGAAACCAATCAGCTTCTAACTTCAGTTTGTTCAATTAAGCTTTGACAATAAAACCTGGAAGCGGATTTGTTTCTATGCAGAGCTGCACCAGATTTTGCACTCTCCAATTTTAGTAAATCACCCCTATGTATCTTCAATAACAGGTGTCTTTTAAATGCTGTGGATACAATTATAAAGGTTTTGAGTAGGAATGAGCTTGAACCAAACCCAGAATGAAGCTGTCAGTACCAGGACAATCAGCTGCAGGAGGGGGATTCCTCACCCTGTAGCTGCACGAACACAAAGGGGCAGGGATGTACAAGACCGCATGGTCATATTAGGCCAATGATGTCATGAGCAGCCACATGCCTTTGTGTATGTATAGCTGGGAGACAGGGAATCCCCCCTCTGCAGCAGATTGATCAGGCACTGACAGCTTTCTCTCAGGTTTGGCCAAACATAGGTTTGGAGACCAAACCTAAGCCTGAATCCAAGCTCATCCCTATTTGTGCAGATGTAAGGTACTAGTTATTAGCAGCTCCTCTCATTTTATATAATAACCTCTTGCTGACTGCATAATATATATATCTGTCCATGGTGGCATGGGGTTGTGTGTTGAGGGCACTCTCAGCGTGCGCTACCAGCACACTGGCCAAGTTGTAACCAACAACACTCCTCCAAGGCTTTTGATCGGAAGCCAGTGAGACAGGCTCCCAATCATGCAACCAAACTGAGAGCCAGTCACAGAAGTCACATTATACAGAAGTTCCACAGATTCCTGTTCATCAAAGCCTGCTTAAAGGGCCAGCGGGAGATGGAGTCTGAGTTTTTCATGTATAGCCAAAACTCCAATTTTGGATCGAGTGGGGAAGGGTTAGCACTCTTGTCAATTTTTTAGTTGTCCTTGTCCTCGCTGAGTAAATTTATAATCTTGGTTTGTCCTTACCATTGTTACAGAGACAAAAAGTGGATAAAAATCCAAAGTTTTTGAGTTGTCACCATAAGAAAAGGTAAGGTAACTTTGCCAATGGAGGCACTTGTCCAGTGACAACTGTCTAAAAAGAGAATTACCCTGAGTTCATAGAGACTTCCCCTCATGTTTTAGGAACATAAAGAAAAGGGAAATAACCCTGATGAGACAAAGGCAGCAATAAATAAACTGTCAGGGTTCTATCCCCTCTCTACCCTGAAAAAAAGGTTTGGTTTACATACATCCTTTTTGTGAACCAATTCCTACTAGCATTGCGTTAAGATGCATTAACACGTGTTTTGTAATACGATCATGTGTGTTATCTTAAGGCAGACCATTCAATATGGTACTATTTTGCAAAGCAAGGCACTACAATGCTCAGGCTGTAATTCCTCTTAAGCCCATCTTTCAGCATAACACTGCTTCAACTGTACATTATTGTAACTTATTTGTGATCCGTAACATTTTGTGTGCATTATTAATGGATAAATCAACTAAATAACTTTGGTTGACATGCAACAGCTAAAAGGTACTCAGATCCAAATTGCCTACTGATAAGTATAGCAGTGTAAAAAATAGCCAGACCCTCACAGGACACACCATATGGAGATAGTGTCTGTATTGCCAGGATCTTGTTTCTAACAGTTTATTTGAATGGCCAACACTGATTCGTCATGCGAATTGAATTACCCACCATATAAAACATTGATTACATATACCCAGTCTTGTTTGCTGCTTTAAAGTCTTCATAAGAAATGGGGTGGTGTTGACCATGTAGCTTCTATGTAAGAAATTATAACTGATATTCACAGTGAGCTACACAACTTACGGAGCTCCAGAAGTACCAAATGGGTAAGAATTACTTACTAAATTATTTTTACCTTGTTCATGCTATTAGCATATTGTTTTGCACTGAATACCCTCTGCTAATTTATCTGGTTATCCTGGTGTTCTACATTTATATGTAAATGGAAATCTTCCTGTATTAGGACTGCTGAACTACATTGTCTGACACCAAGTGGCCACTTTTACCCCCTTTAATCAGTACATAAAAGAGAATCTGAAGGTGGTGAGCACAGTCTTGATGGGGTCTCAGACTGCAGAGGTTCCCAAAGTGGGACATACATTAATTGTCTATTGGTATGCTTAGTATACATAAGTTTTGGACTTGTTATACATAATATGGATCTGTTTTTCTGCATTGCGCATTTTTGACAACTTTACTATTTTTCAACATTGGGATTTATTAAAACAAGTCATCTCTACTATCAATCATCATTGCTCCTGATTAATAAACATGCAATAATCTGAAAAAAAAAAATGGACATAAATTGGTGCATGCTTCTTTCTTTTTTTTTTTTTTTTTTTGCATGCTACTGATACAGATGTGAACAGGGCAATACAATTCACAATGGGTATGCCCAATAGGCTCTATTTTGTATTAAAATGTTTGAAATTCAATAAAAAGAATTTTTAAAAATGTTATGTACTTTCAAAGCACATCTTTAGCAGGATAGTTCTCAGCTTAATATGTTAAGTCATAGTATAAGAAAAAAAATATTCAGATATGTGACAACCTGATGTCATCAGATAAAGGCAGAAATGGTAATATGATTGTGAAAATACAAAAAGAGGAGCTCACATTTATTCAGCTGTTAAATACCTGTGTCTACAGCACAGCAGAGAAAAATCTATTTCACAAAGACTACATTCTATGGGATACAACTAGAGCACACAATACACATGGATATAAAGGAATGCCTTTACAGATCTGGAGCGAAAAATAGAAGGATATACCCAAGTTTCAATTTCAGGTGTTTACTGGAAATATTTCCAAAGGACAGAGATTATTTCGCAGTTTTACAATTCATTACCTGGTTGCAGGAAAAGTCCGTATGGACGCAACACAGTATTTCCAGAATGGCAGCCCAGACATTTTTTTTTGTTCATCACAAAACTATAAATATGATTGTCTGCTATATATTACTACAATATGTATTGATCCTGCTTTTTACATTACCTCATTGAAAGAATAGTATTTATCTTTTACCTATATTTTAATTCATTTAGGCAATTCATAACACTTTTTATGCAATATATGTTATCACAAAATGTTCTTTTAAGTACAAAAAAGTATTTAATTCTGACATTGTATAGTAGACATCTTCAAACTGAATCTTTGAGTGATGGGTCTGCGTTGCACACCTTGCTAAATTTATATTTGCCTTGACACTGTAAAAGAAATAAGTTGGCAGTTCTGCCTAAACTGCAAATAACTCACATGCTTGCTCTACTCTATTTTAAGGTCTGTGGATATAAATCAACTTATACTTACAAAATATATTTACTTTTCCACAATGATAAAGTACTTCCTTTGCCCAGAAAATTAGAGAAAGGAGAATGATAAAAATCTTAAACCACTTTTCTAAAATAAGAAAACAAATTATTTATGTTCTAGCAGGCCTTGAAAAGGTTAGAGTTTTGAAACATAAAAAGAAGAATGCTGATTGTATCAGCGGTTCATTCTTGCTTTATTAGCTTTAATTTATTAGAATATTGTATTTGTGTTGAGATGGTCATTTTCTTGTTTGCTTGAATACATTAAATTAAAAAAATAAATATTGTTTAAAATGTTTTATAGATCGCCCCAAAATCCGCCTCCCAAGATACCTGCGTCAAACATTTGTGAAACACGTCGGAGAGGCTGTGAATCTTGTAATTCCTTTCCAGGTATATATATATTTTTTATGTGCATTATTTAACAGACCAAATTTTTTCTTTTCCAAAATTTTTATTAGATTTTCAATAGAAATGTAACAAAACATTCAATAATTACACTTGCAGAAAATAGCCTTCACGTATGTCATTTGAAAGTGTACATCAACAAATTAGCCAAAAAGGTGACATGTTATCAACAGTAATTATTCTCTATAAACACAGTCCAAAGATCTGAAACATTATACTGTGAGAATGTAGGAGCTTAGACCCAGGTATGCCCCCATCACCATCCTTAACTTCCTCCAACAGGGAGGCGAGACAATGGAAGTTCTCATATTGGCACTCAAAGAGGTCATATAGTCTTCTGCAGGCTCAGTGCACAAGGAAGAGGGTACGTCATGAAGTTTCTTCAGCCATTGAGAGCCTACACTACTTCCCTAAAAAAAAAGGGGGGGGGGTTTAAAGTCGAATCATATTTGATTATACCTCATAACATGTGGCCTGAGGGTCATATCAAAACCTTTAAAGAAAAGGAATTACGAAGAAAAAAGTTAAGGAAGAGAGAGAAAAAAGGAAAAGGAAAAGTGCACCCAATCCAGAGAGAAGTAATAGACAATTATATCATGTTAGGCATCTGAGAGATATTTGATCCAGGGGTCCCAAATTTTTTCAGATAAATCCAGTTTGTCTTTCTAGATTGCTGAGAGGCACTCATTAACCATGATCCAAGACAACTTGGATTTCAATAGGTGGAAGGGGATCACAAGCGATTTCCAAGATCTAGCAATGGAGATCCTAGCTGTTGCAAATACTAATGTAATGAACCTCCTTGTGTGTTGCAGTACCCCCTCCACTGGGCATCCAAGTAAGGCTTGTAATGGTGATTTAGGAAGATTCACCTGTGTAAGTGTGGAGATAAAGTTGTAGGTGCGAATAAAAAATCTTCTGACTTTGGGACAAGTTCACCAAGTATGGTACATTGTCAAGCCAGATTTTTTAAAAAGAAATCAGTGGGTCGCATTACATCTGACAGTTTGTATAATTCCAATATAAATGTGGTTTGCTAAGTCTAAGCAGTGCACACTCCAACTTCTACATCTCTGCCAGCTAAGTGGTGGCATACCTAGAATCAAATTGGATCAAGTGTGTTCTGATATCCAAAGTGACAGTAAAAAAAACAGCGATAAAGGAGCTATACTGCATGCTTTGTGGGGGGTATCATAGTACCCATGTGCATACATGGTCATTTTGGTCATGGAAGGTTTTTGTACAAATTTTCAAATGCTCCTACCTGGGAATACAGTGATAATAAATACCTGCATTCCCATTGCATTATTTGTACTGACAGCATAATCTATGTTTTTTGGGGGAGCTACAGCTTTGTTTGGCACCTTTAAACCTTACTAAACAATTTTTTTAGGCAGATTGTTGAAATACACATTGCTTAAAATGATCCTATAAGGGAAAAATAATACAGATTACAGTTCTTGACATACACATTGCTTAAAATGATCCTATAAGGGAAAAATAATACAGATTACAGTTCTTGACATGCACATGGCTGAAAAAAAATACAACAAGGAGAAAAATAATCCAAATGACAGATCTTGACAGGTTACTCAGGGACCAGCTGAAATTCACACAGTGTATGGCCACCTTTAGAAAAACACTTTAAATTTGCATAAAACTCTGCCCAGTTGAATAGCCGTGTTTACTTTAAAGCCATATTAAACTTTTAGTTTAAGAGAGCTAAATGCATCCCATTTCCATCAAAACAGAAGTGCAAAGTGTTATAGTTCATTTTCTTTACATAGCAGCCACAGCCCAAATAGAAAAGCCTGTACCCTGCCAGCATTCTGCAATGAAGCAAACAGTGTCTGCTCCATTGAACTTATAGCTTCCCAATCACCAAAGAGGGACCACTGCTTCCATGCAGAGAGCAATGATCTGCCTCTACAGATGGTGGAGAGGGTTTTCAATGCATTTTCTGTTTTGCTGCTCCTGGAATGTATATTAGGTGATTTAAACTGAAAATTCAGTTGAACTTTAAAAAAACTCCAATCTTTTTAACCAATGTTAAAAATTGATGGATATATATAGTATATGTGTATGTCATTCTAAAAGCTAAAACAATAAAAAGGCAACAACAAATTTGTAATTTTCTTTTCAGTAGAACTTCTTTTTCAGTTTTGGAAAGATGTTGAAAGTGTTAGATCATTATCCAGTTTTTATTGTTGTCTGTGTCCTAATTAGGGAGCTTTTTACTTCCCGTTTCGTTGTCGGCAGAACGACAGTTGTATTCAAATAAAAAGTGAAGGGGAAATAAAGGCGGGCTCTTTTTCCTTAATTTAAAGCGATTGTAAACCCTCAGATTGTAGAACAACCTATTCAGTTTAACCGTTTCCCATCCGCCCTATAGTAGAAATACTTCTACAGGGCAGCACGGGTGCGCAAAATTACATACATATACACGTGATTTTGCATTTTCGGGTAGGGGGTGCGTGCAAGCTGTGCGCGAGCCCTACCTGTGCCGCCATTCGTGGCTGTCAAACACCAGGTCCCTCCTCTTCTCCGACGGGGAAGAGAACTGTTTTGTTTACTAACAGTTCTCCTCCCTGTCGGCTCGGGCACACTGCTTTGGATGGCTGTGCCCAGCACAGCCATCCAAAGCAGTGTGCTTACAGTGAAGCACACTGACAAGGCCCCCTATGTAAAACACTCCCAGCACACAGTTAACCCTTTGATCGCCCCTCATGTTAACACCTTCCTGCCCAGTGCCATTAGTATAGTGTCAGTGCTTTGTATTAGTACTGATCACTGTGTCAGTGACAACAAGTCAGTTCCCCCCAATGTTAGAATGCCCGCCGCAGTCCGGCTATAAGTCGCTGATCACCACCATTACTAGTAAAAATTAAAAAAAAAAAAAAAAAAAATTCCAGTATTTATAACGCCACTTGTAAATGCTATAACTTTCACTTAAACCATTTAATTTACATGTATTGCGATTTTTTTTTTTAGCAAAGACATATCGCAAATTACATTTTGGCCTAAATTTATGACAAAATTAGATTTTTTAATTTTTTACTGGGCATGTTTAATAGCAAAAAGTTAAAAAAATATTGTTTTTTTCTCAAAATTTACTTTTTTTTTATAACGCAAAAAATTAAAAATGCACTGACAATCAAATACAACCAAAAGAAAGCTCTATTTGTGGGAAAAAAGGATGTAAATTTAATTTGGGTGCAGTGTTGCATGATCGCACAATTGCCAGTTAAAGTAATGCAGTGTCGTAACACAAAGAATGGCCTGGTCATGAAGGGGGGTAAATCCTCAGGAGGGCAAGTGGTTAATATAGAAATGGAAGTTAAAACATTTGTGTATAGATATAAAACATTGTAAACACCCCCCCTTTTTTTTTTTATAAGTGATTACATTCCCTCTGTTCTCAGCTTCAGAAGAGCTGGGGGAGGAGAAACAGCAGATACTGATCTTCCTGGTAAAAGGCTGTGCAGGGGAGATAATGTCAGGACAAGTCTGATCATTGGAGGAGTTCCCAGCATAGCTTGAGAACTGACCAAGTTGTGTTCTCCTGCTTAGGCTACTTTCACACTGCTGTGCTGAAAAAAATGCATGAAAACCACATATGTGTTTTTGCTGTGGTGTGTAGCGTTTTGATGCGTTTTCATTCATTCGACAAACAAGAATGAATTCATTCATTCGAGTTGCATTTTCCCTACTGGAAAAAGCACTTCTCACCGGTGCGTTGCATTTTTAATGCATTTTTGATGTGGTTTTCATTCATTTCAATGGAGATTTTTTTTTTAACTGAACAAACATGCAGCAAGCAGGACTTTTAAAGAATGCGACTGAAGTGCAATGGACCAGTGTGAAGAGCTCCATAGGATTAGGAAAGGAATGCATTTTTCTTCCGCTTTTCTTTCGCTTTTTTTAACTGAACAAAAATGGATCAGTGTGAAAGCAGTGTTAATGTAGTCAGTTTATGTTAGGAAAGTAGAGGGACTGGCAGGAACACCAGGAATTACACACAAAGAAAGCAATACAAAGAGAACAGCATACTTTCTCATACAAGTACATGGTACAGCAGGCACATATCAGGAATATGAAATGTTGGGTTTACATATTCTTTAAGGAGGCATTGAGGCTGACTTACTTAGAAGTTGAGAATCTTCCCTGAATATATTGTGTGATTGTTCACTTCATTTGTCCAAAACATTTTGGAACATTTTCCCCAATCACCTGTGTAGTCTAACAGCAGTTGGTGCAGCTGTCTGAATATAAGGTCTTGGCGGGGGGGGGGTTGGCGGGGGGGCGGGGGGGGGGGGGGGGGGATTCCTCCATTCACCTCATTTGTGTTGATGGAGGAATTCCATTGGCTGAATGGAAAAAAATGAACAGTGTTTGGCTAGCTTTGCATTTCCTCACCCTTCCAAAATGCCTTTGTTGTTGTGTTATTTTAGTTTTGCTATTTGAATAATATAATACATGTCATTCTTAAAGGGTAAGCCAAAGCCTCAAGTTACCTGGACTAAAATTGGACAGCCCCTGGACCCCAAACAAGCGAGTGTCAGGAATAGTGAAAGCGATACTATTCTTTTTATTCGTAAGGCTGAACAAAAAGACTCTGGATCATATGAGGTCACAGTAAAAATTGATGACCTGGAAGATAAAGCCAAGATTGAAATACAGATTGCTGGTAAATATTTGGAAAATGTAATATTATGCTGTGGGTGATTGTATGTGCAAGCGAAAATTCAGGTTCCAGTTATTGCTATAACCAAAATATGTGAGCTCTTTTCTCAACCACACTCTAGCTCAATCCTAAACATTACACCTCAAAAATCAATTCTAAATGCATAAATCATAAATTAAAATCCCCAAAATGTCTCTGAAATACCAAAATGTTCAAATAACTTTCTTTTCACCTCCAGATCACATTGTGTAAAGCTGTGCAAGGTATTCAACGTATGGTATTCCAATGTTGATGAACCTCGAAAAAAAATATAAACTAGAAATGGTGCATTACCTTTTACAAATAAACACTTGTGCAAAAATAATGTGTCATGCACACTGCATATCATGTGTCAACAAACGTGAAAAAAAAAAAATTATATATATGTTACACACAATAAGTATGAATAAACTTGTTATCACACGTGAGCAAATGTGAACACTCCAAAAACACAATAACCGTGTTCTTTGCTAGATGTGGTAGTGAACCAGGGGCGGACTGACCATTTAGAAACTCGGGCACTGCCCGAGGTCCCAGGGTCAGTAGGGGGCCCCATGAGATGCCCCTGGTACCTTTATCATAAGCTTTTTTGAGTTTGGGCAAGGACACAGGGGCCCCATGATCCCCTATTGAGGGCCCAGGGTCAGTAGGGGGCTCCATGAGATGCCCCAGGTACCTTTTTCATAAGCTTTTTTGAGTTTGGGCAAGGACACAGGGGCCCCATGATCCCCTATTGAGGGCCCAGGGTCAGGAGGGGGCTCCATGAGATGCCCTGGTACCTTTTTCATAGGCTTTTTTGAGTTTGGGCAAGGACACAGGGGCCCCATGATCCCCTATTGCCCGGGGGCCCCATGAGTTGTCAGTTCGCCCCTGTAGTGAACTCAAACACTGCAAAAATTAAACTACCACAAATAAATACAATAGTGAATATTAAAAATGTGCAACTTAGGTGGAAACACTCCAACTTGGTGCATCAATGAATAATTACCCTAGAGAGGTAATGTCACACTTTTCACATAGTAGATGCTGGCACCTCCAAGCTTCTTAGCACTCCTTTTAGCGTGCTCCCATGTCCCTCATAAGGCAAATCAAATGGTTAGAGGCTTTGAAGTATTCAAATATAACACTTTATTAGTACACTTACATTTAAAACTCCAACAAACAGCTTCCAGCTTCTGAGGTATACAATAGGTCCTATCCTGTTTCTGCCATATTGTAAAAGGTAATGCACCATTTCTAGTTTATATTTTTTTCGAGGTTCATCAACATTAGAATACCATACGTTGAATACCTTGCACAGCTTTACACAATGGGATTTGGAGGTGGAAAAGAAAGTTATTTGAACATTTTGATATTTCAGAGACATTTTTGGGATTTTAATTTATGATTTATGTATTTAGAATTGATTTTTGAGGGGTAATTTTTAGGATTGAGCTAGAGTGCGGTTGAGAAAAGAGCTCACATATTGTATCACTTTCAAGGGTGAACGTTTTTCTTTTCTATTGGGTTAGGTTCTTATATTTAGTTGGGAGTGTTCACAGTCATTGGTATAACCAAAATATGCAGTGGACCAAAACATCAGTGAAACCAAAGCCAAGATATTATGTGGACCTGTAGTAGGGGGTGGTGCGGGGATCATCAATGGAAATTCTATTTTCAGTCCAACTCAAGGAAATGACTACTAAGCACATTACATTAGACTAGGCTAGGCTCAAATCTAACTGCTGTGGTGCAGTGTGTTAAAGCACACATTGTGTTCATCATTTATATGCACTGCCACAGGCAGCCCATTCAAAATGAATGAACTGACATGCACCTTATCAGGCCTGAAATCAGACCTGCACTTTTTTGACAGCACACTACTTTGACAATGCAGGCAAGGTGAGTTGGAGTAACATGCAGAATGAATTGCTGAATACAATGCCCAAGCTCTACTGCTGCTGATGCTATCCACAGCTGAAAACCAGTGCTCATGGCTGGGATATGTAGTCCATCAATACTTTAAGCGTTGATAGGTATAAGCCGGCAAATCGGTTTACTGAAACATTAAAAATCTTTATTGGCTACACAAGTACATTCAGTAAAAAACAATTCTAATGCGATGAGTAAGGCCACAGCGGCTGGATGTTTTACTGGATGTACTTGTGTAGCCAATAAAGATTTTCAAGGTTTGAGTCCACCGAGTTGCCAGCTTATATCTAACAATGTATTCAAAATGAATGGTACCGCATTACACTGTTGCAAGTAGAGTGTGGTGCCTTGCGTCATTGTACATGTGAAAGTGTGAATGGGGCCTATGTCTTGATCAACATTTTTGAAAACAGATTAAACATCATTTCATAAAAATATTTTATGTGTATTGTAAAAAAAAACCTAGTCCAACTGTTCAGCAACCTTACAGTTGATATGATTTTAATGGCAATCTTCTTTTTCATTCTTTTTTAACTGAGAATTTTGTAAGCATTGTTGAATGTTACAAACTTGGAAAGACAGTATGATGAATCCTTTAAGAAGGTTTAAACCAGAAATGACCCTAACATAAACCTACTGCCACTGGATAATGTAAACTCTTTGTACATTTTATATTACCATAAACCAGTTCTAAACCTTATTGAGACCATGGCCTAGTAACTTCCAAAACCTTCCCTGCCACAACAGTAAAAAAGGTTTACTCTGCAGCAGCAGACTTTCTGGCCCTAGGGATGAGGTTTGTAGAGGGATCTGCGCACAACTATGAGGGATAAGGTCTCTGAAGGGAGATGGTGGCTTCTGCAGGAGGCTGGCGGTTTTGCAGGGCCAATGTGGGAGACTGGAGGGCACTTTGTAGAGGGATCGGCGAGCAACTATGAGGGATAGGGTCTCTGAAGGGAGATGGTGGCTTCTGCAGGAGGCTGGGGGATTTGCAGGGCCAATGCAAGAGACTGGAAGGCACTTTGGGGCTGGGGGGAACAGTGGGACACTGTTGGGAGTACTATGGAGGAGCTGGAGGCTCTGCATCAAGATAGGGAGCAGTGCATGGGACTGGGGGACACTGTGGGACGTTGGCAGACACTGTGGCTTCTAGGGGGCCTGGGGCCACTGTGAGGGATTGAGGGCCACTGCAAACCTCTATGCTTCCTATGTACCACTATGGGTGGCTTTACGAGTGCCAAAAGGCACTATAGGATTTTAGGCCAAAGTGGAAATAGGCTGTGGCAATGGGCCATGGCCCAGGGGTTGAAAACCACTGCCATAGGGAACACATTTGACAGGATTAAAGCAGCTTTCTAGGAGTCCTTAAAGAAGCTGCGGTCTGTGAGTGTTGCGTGTAGATCTTGAACTTTTGCTTAGAAATGTATTTGACAACAGTCAGCAAAGGCAGAGAGCAATGAAGAATATCAGCTCAACAGATATCTGTCAAGAAAAATCAACATACATTTTTTAAACATATATACAGTGTGTGTGTATATATATATATATATATATATATATATATAATGCTTGTAACTGTATATTTAAAAGACCAAAAGGGACTAAACAAAATAAGTTCATTAGCACACTTTAAATGTACAGCTTTGTAGATTAGACACTAACTGGAACACTATGGGAACTATTTACAAATGTTTTCATCCAAGATTTATATTACATACACACATACAGTACATGCATATTGTTAGCCTTTTGGCATCATATAAATCAATGTCATATTTTAGATACAAATGCCATGCATTTTCATATAGCTTATGCAGGGTTTATGCCAGGGCTGCTCTTGTCAGCAAATCCCAGCTGTCAAAATGATGCTGCAGCTGCTGTGTGCAACAAAGCTTCTGAATGGTGCTCAGAACACTGTTCAGAAGCTTCATTTACAGATACCCCGTAAAAAAAATGGTTTTGTTGTATTCATACTGTTTCATTCATCTGCAGATCAAAGAGGTGAACGTGATGTCATTTAACCTCTTGCTGCCCATGTAAAGCAAATGTGTAGCAGAAAAGAAGATAGGCTTTAATGAATATATCCCACTCATGTGTCCATGAGCACCAAAGCTTCCTGTGCTGAGAGCATATTGACTGAGCTGTATAATGATCAGGACCTGGCTGGACTGGCTCCTGATCATGTGACCACTATGACAGCCAATCACAGTGGTGGCCTGATTGGCTTGCCCCCCAGTTAAAGGGAGGCCAAGGCTGGACAGAGGGGTTAAAGCAACTTTGCCAGTTGAAAAAAAAATGTTGCTTTTTAAACCCTTTATCAACCTTTAGCTTTACTTAACTACTGTCACCCCTTCTCTCGTTAGGTGTTATTTTTCTGCTGATTTTTTATTTAGTATTTCTTTAGCCATCAATATTCAAACTTTATTTTTCATTTTCATTCAATTAGTTTTTTTTTTGTTTTTTTTGTGAATTGGTGAATGTTGGCCTGATTTTACAAATTAGAAGTACATTATGATAGTTTGCAGCCTAATTAAGATGCAAATCTGTTGCTAAATCAAGAAGTTATGTGGACCTCCCTTTAAATAGGTACAGAGTGGTAGTTACAACTGAGATTAGTCTGGCACACTTTCATGTATTTCAAAAGTGTAGCAAATTTGTCACATTTGTGCTTATTCAGGCAAAACACAGGGCGCAAAGTATTGCAACACCTTTATTACATTGAACGGCAATAATCTGGTAAATCTTCAGTTTTTCAATGTCGGACACACAAAATGTGGGATGTTTGTGGATGTAACAACTGTAACTTTTTTTTATATACAGTGAAGGAAAAAAGTATTTGATCCCCTGCTGATTTTGAATGTTTGCCCACTCACAAAGAAATGATCAGTCTAAAAATCGAATGGTAGGTGTATTGTAACACTGAGAGACAGAATAGCAACAAAATATTCACAAGAAATGCATGTCTAACAAATTATTCACTGATTTGCATGTTCATGAGGGAAATAAGTATTTGATCCCCTTCACAAAACATGACTTAGTACTTGGTGGCAAATCCCTTGTTGGCAATCACAGAGGTCAGACGTTTCCTGTAGTTGGCCACCAGGTTTTCACACATCTCAGGAGGGATTTTGGCCCACTCCTCTTGGCAGATCTTCTCCCAATCATTAAGGTTTGGTGGCTGACGTTTGGCAACTCGAACTTTCAGCTCCCTCCACATATTTTCAATCGGATTAAGGTCTGAATGTACTTCTTCTTGAGCCACTCCTTTGTTGCCTTGGCTGTGTGTTTTGGGTCATTGTCATGCTGGAACACTCATCCATGACCCATTTTCAATGCCAAGGCTGAGGGAAGAAGGTTCTCACCCAAGATTTGATGGTACATTGCCCTGTCCATCGCCCTTTGATGCGGTGAAGTTGTCCTGTCCCCTTAGCAGAAAAATACCCCCAAAGCAAAATGTTTCCACCACCATGTTTGACAGTTGGGATGGTGTTCTTGGGGTCATAGGCAGCATTCCTCCTCCTCCAAACACGGCGAGTTGAGTTGATGCCAAAGATCTCGATTTTGGTCTCATCTGACCACAACACTTTCAACCAGTCCTCCTCTGCATCATCCAGATGTTCAGTGGCAAACTTCAGACGGGCCTGGACATGTGCTTTCTTGAGCAGAGGGACCTTGTGGGCACGGCAGGATTTCAATCCTTGTCTGCGTAGTGTGTTACCAATTGTTTTCTTGGTGACTGTGGTCCCAGCTGCCTGGAGATCATTGACAAAATCCTCAGGTGTAGTTCTGGGATGATTCCTCACTGTTCTCATGATCATTGACACTTCACGAGGTGAGATCTTGCATGGTGCACCAGACCTAGGGAGACTGACAGTTGTTTTGTGTTTCTTCCATTTGCAAATGATTGCACCAACTGTTGTCACCTTCTCACCATGCTGCTTGCCGATAGTTTGGTAGCCCAGTCCAGCCTTGTGTCGGTTTACAATCTTGTCACTGACTTCCTTGGACAGCTCTTTGGTTTTTGCCATGGTGGAGAGTTTGGAATCAGATTGTTTGATTGCTCCTGTGGACAGGTGTCTTTTATACAGGAAACAAAATGAGATTAGCAGCACTCCCTTTAAGAGACTGCTTCTAATCTTAGCTTGTTATCTGTATGAAAGACAACTGGTAGCCAGAAATCCTGCTGAATGATAGGGGATCAAATACTTATTTCACCCATGAACATGCAAATCAGTGCATAATTTGTTAGACATGCATTTCTTTTGAATTTTTTTGTTGCTTTTCTGTCAGTGTTACAATACACCTACCGTTTAATTTTTAGACTGAGCATTTCTTTGTGAATGGGCAAACATTCAAAATCAGCAGGGGATCAAGTACTTATTTCCTTCACTGTACTGTATGTCCCCAGTATGTATTAAGATGCAGCCCTCCCCTTGACTTATTTATACAAAATGTGGCCCATTGGCCCTTTTCAGCTGGATGCCACCGGCCTATGCTTATAAGTGTTGATAATTTCACAGCGTACCACAATATTTTTAGGGGGTTGTGGTGGGCTATCTAAAAGGGTACCACATCCTAAATATACAGAACAAATACCAACAGGATTTTTAAGATACTCAAGGACTGCACAAAAATATCAAAAAATATACATTTATTGCATTGGCATCACATAAAGTAAAATTTTTGAAATTTGCAATAATTTGATCTCCCCCTTAGTTTGGGGATCCCCATTTACAGTATAATACAACATAAATTCACATCTGTTTGAGAGACAGCCATAGGGATCTCATTTTCCTCTATGTGTTTCACAGGATGTCCCACTTCTTCGCAGTGTAAAATGTATTTCTTTTATCTTATCTGCTCCTTAGGCTGTCTGAAAGAGAAACTCTGTTTCTGTTTAATACCCCGGTCACATCAAGCCAACTTTGAAATAGTGCGCCTTACAGTGAAGTTGCACGATTTCAAAGTCGGGGGACCTGCCGATTTCAGGTGCGATTTGCAAGACATCTGATACAGATGTCTATGCAAATCGAACCAATAGTAGTGCATGTACTAACCCAAGTCGGAACTGCACCGATATGACCGCTCCAATTGCAGACAATAGGGTGCATCTTGGCATGCGATTTGCAAGTCACAGGGCATGCAAATCGCACGACAAGTCGCACCCGATGTGACCAGGCTGTAAGCGCATGAATCATATGCAACTCATAGGACATTGCTTTGAGAATATCACTGTCATTAGCATTATGAGGCTTATGTTTAAAGAGTGATATTTTACAGTAGCAGTCTGTGACTGTCTCTGCTAATATATGATTTTTCATCAAAGACTGTCTCTAATTTTCTTTGAACAGTGTAGTATGGTTATTTGAGCAACTCTTGTGAAATACAGTGGAAGGAAAAAAATGTTTGCAGCCTCAAACGTGTTGTGTTTGCTTTTTTTTAAGAACGACCTGGTCCACCCAAGGGTATTAAGCTTGCGGATGTATGGGGATTCAACGCAGCTCTTGAATGGACCGCTCCACAGGACAATGGAAATGCAGAAATTACAGGTTATACTGTGCAGAAATCAGATAAGAAAACTGGGGTAAGAATTTTGCTAATTTTTCAGCTATTTTAATCAATTGTAATATGAATATAATTGTTATTATGATATTCCAGTGCACTCTAATCAAATAAAATAGGCCTGAAAATAAAAAGTAACACCTACAAAAACATTTGAGAAGCGGGCCTTTTCAAAAAATTTTATGTATGTTAGAGAATTCATTTTTATTGTTATTATGGGAAGTGTTTCATTAGTTTGTTGCAAATTGAGACACAAAAATAATTGAATGAATTTATCTTCTTACAATGATTTTCTAATGGGAAAATAATATCTTTCAGGAATGGTTTACTGTCCTTGAGAATTATCGCCAAACTAACTGCACTATTTCTGACTTGATCATCGGTAATGCCTACTTCTTCAGGGTATTCTCTGAGAACCTGTGTGGACGTAGTGAGAAAGCTGCCACAACTAAAAATCCCGCTGTAATAAAGAAACCAGGTAAATTAAAGGACATTTGTTGGTGCTGATTGTTTGTGGCTCTGTTCACAAGAATAACTAGCAAATATATGTAACTATTCCCAGATCATTACAGTAGTATTAAACCCTCAGCATTTTTCAGCACATTCAACACAACAAAAATACGCATTTCCAAGTAAACTATTTGTTAAAATTCTTACCTTAGCTTTTGCAGTTTACAGCTTTTAATACTGGCTATCTCCTGCTCCCCCAGTGCTGCTTCCTTGAACTCCTGGTTTTCAGGAACCAGTCTGTTAGTTTGGAGGAGGGAGGAGTACAGGAGTGCCCTGCCATCCTAGGTTATGAGGCTGTGTGTTTCTATTGATGCACACAATGCAGAGAGATATAATTCTAGTCCTTGCATACAAAGGTGACTCCATAGGACACTGCAGGAGAAAGGAGACACCCTAATGCAGGCCATAGACGGGTCGAAAAATGGGCCGATTTTTGCACCGTTAGTGGGTTAATTGGTCGGCCGTTTTTCAGGGTTTTGGCACATTTTTATTTATCGGTAAAGTTAGAAAAAAATCGGCCGATCGTTTTACCGATAAAAAATCTACGCATGAGCCGTGACCTGCAAGAAGAAGAAAAAGAAGAAGAAGAATTCCAGTCTGCTATTATATTTTATATGAAAAGTATTGCGGTTGCAACAATGTATCTATTTGTATCTATTTGTCATCAGTATCCGAACTGGATACAAATAGATACATTGTTGCAACCGCAATACTTTTTCATGTCAAATATAACAGCGGAGCTCTTTGCAAGGGGCAGAAATAATTAAATGCCGGCTGTAGACGGGACGAAAATCAGCCGATTTTTTTTTTACCATTGATGGTAATGTCGACCTATTGAACGACCGATTTTTTTTTTTTTTTTTTTTTTAAACGGACGGTTTTCAACCCGTCTATGGCCTGCATTAATCAGGAAACTTAGTGACCAAGACTCAAAACAAAAATTCAAATACAGTGATACCTCGGTTTACAAATGCCTCGGTTAACGTAATATTGGTTTACGAATGAAAATCCATTGAAAAAATGCCTTGGTTTACAAAATTTTTTTTGCAATACGAAGCAAGTTTCCCCAGGATGCATTGCGCCTAGGAGGTTTATAGCGCCACCCCTGTGCATGCTGGAGTCTGTGGGTAGCATGTGGCGTCGAGTGTGGAGGTTCTTCAATGCACTCCTATGGGAAACCATGTTTCGGTTTATGAATTTTTTTTGCAATACGAAACGTCCCAAAGAACGCATTAAATTCATAAACCGAGGTACCACTGTATAGGCAGCATACTCTATAAGCAGTTAACAGAGATGTGACGGAAAAATGAGCTTAGTTTTGGATTTGTTCATTAAGTTAAATTTTTTTTTCATCACAGTTACATTTTTTTTTCATCACATTTGTTATGTTAGAGAGGTTCATTTGCAGAATTTGTTTCAAATATTCTGATTCATTCTGATATATAAGTGTTATTATCAAATTGATTCAAAATTCGAATTTAAAAATTCAAATTTCAAAAGTTGGCTATACTTGTTTTATTCTGTTGTATTCTAATCTATTCTATGTTTTCTATTCTAGTCTTTTCTTTTCTATTCTATTCCTCGCTATTCTATTTTGTTTTAATCTAGTCTTTTCTATTCTATTCTATAAAGCAGCCTAAGAAGGAATTATCCTCTTATTTCACTTTTAGACCTTCCTGTATTTCTAACAATATGTTTCCATTTAGCATTCAAATTCATTTTCAAATTCGAATTTGAAATAATTTTGAAATACAATTTTTAAATTTGTTTTCAAATTCGAGCTTGGATAATTAGTTTTGTTACAATTTATTTCGGATTTGTTGTAATTCGTTACTATTGTGATTTGGAAATTTGGATACATCCAAAATCTCGAAACAAAAATGTTGCCAAAATTTCAATTCGTGATGAAACAAATCCACCTGTTTAGTGATTAAATCAGCTTCTTAAAGTGCTTAAAAAAATTGAGAGTTAATATCACTTTAACTTATCTTTACCTCTAACACTTAATGCCAAACTCCAGGCAAGCAGCTGAACACAAAAATGAAATATAATGTATATAAGGGAGCTGTTTTACCTGCCAGAGGATTTGTGTTTCTGCCCATCCAGTCCTAAGATTTATATTTTGATTTTGAAGGTGCATATTTCAGGTTTCTCATCGTCATGGGCTTTGTCCTGATTCAGTGACTCACTACTAATTAGTGAAACTGAATATATTCTAAGATCTGTATGCAGTACCAGCCACCTTCAGCCCAATTGGTAGATAACAGAGACTAATGCATGACCATTAAATGAAATGTCTTTTTTGGCCCTTCTCTCTATCTGTCTCTAATCTGACTGCATTTAAAAGCACAGATGAAAGTCAATCTTCAAACAAAAACGTTCTTTATACTTTCCTATTTTGTTTTTATAGAAAATACATACAAGCCTCCTGAGTATAAGGAGTGTGCTTTGTTAGAAGCACCAAAGTTCACTCAGCCTCCTAGTGACCGAACAACAACACATGGATATACTACTAAACTGGTGTGCAGCGTTCGTGGCAGCCCCAAGGTAAGACATTTAAATAAATAAATATATCAATGAATCAATATGTCAATTAATCTTCTCAACTAGTTGCAGAATTTGGGCTTGGACTTCATCATTTTACACAGGACATATGTAAGCACGTCCAGTCTTTCTGTCCTGCGTTCCGGAACCCCCCCCCCTTTCCCCAGTATACAGTAATTGTCAGCTTTGATTAATCAAAGCTGGCATTCCTGTGTACTCAGAGTATAAAAAACAATCCAGACCACAATTATTCAAAAAAAAGTATTGTTTCATTTGTATCATTCTATTCATTCATCTGCAGATCAAAAGGGTGCAGTTAAACCTGCAAATTAAGTCAGTTAAAACAACTTGATAAGTAAAAAAAAAAAAATGTTGCTCTGTTATTGATCCTTAGTTTACTCTGATTGTTCCTAATTAGTCTTCTCTCTTCACTTATTATCTTCCTGCTGATTTTTTTTGGGGGGTTTCTATATTATTAACAAGTACAACTAACATTTAAATGTTTTTGTTTTGTTTGTTAAAACATTTACAAACTTAACATATATTTATACATTTCCCATTTAAAAAAGCACAAATTTGGAAAAAAAAAAACCCCACTTTATTACTTAATTAAAACACTTTGTACCAGAATCATATTTTTAATGTCATTTTAAACAGGACAAATTTCAGTATAAAATGTGCACATTTTATGTGCAATAACACATTTATTTTTAAACTAGCATTGCTCAAAAAAAAAAGAGTCTGTGGTTGTTTCGTTTTATTGCATTTTATTTTCTAAGGATTGCAGAAAACAAATTGTTATTGCAAGAAAATATAATGAAAAGAAAGTCTTGTTTGTCCTTAAAAAGGCAATATATGTATTACCTTGCTATCTTAAGTAATGACAAAGTTATTGCCAAATAAACTGGCCCATAGCAGAAATATAAAAATTGCTTTGGTCCAGGGGGTGAACAGATGTGAGAGGCAAAGTGGTTAATGGAGCACTTCTTAGGTCAAAGTTTCAGTGCACTTTACAGTATGCATTCAAAAATATTAGCTTGAATCTTTGGATATGCTTTCCAACCAAAGCTACAGAGTCAGTTTTGCATGGTAGTGTGATGATCGCGGCGTCAGACCCCACCCCTTCTCACCAAACTCGTGACCGAAGGACTAGTCAATCTAAAACCGTGCTGTCACGTGCGTAACAATGCCACGCTCAGCTGCACCCGGCACAAAGATTTTCCAGCTTACTGGACCACAATAAATGTACCGGCAGCCTGAGAGCGATTGTTACTGGGTCAGGTTAATTACGCAATTAACCCTTCACACTGCCACCACCTCCTTTTTGTACAGAGAAAGATGAAACTCAGCAATATTAGCAATACACTATGATGTATGAATAATCATTTGCACACACAATGTCACCGCAGACAGATGTATGCAGACGTTTAAAACACACAGTAGCGTTCTTCAGAGGCAGGAATTCGTAATTTACATTAAAGAGCTGTAGAAACAGTTCAACACTATCAGAAAGCAAGATTTATTACTAAAAGGCCAAAAGGGTGCAATAAAAACATTTACAGAAAAAGATGTAGCCAATATATATATAAAAATATACAGAGAACAATAGCACAGCAAAGAGATAACAGAAAGGAATTTAGATAAAGTACTTGCCAGTCAGCCTTGGTTTAAGCAGCTTCCAAGTTTCAGAGCCAAAAGGATGCTTTGATCTCCCACTGTTAGTTTCGATGTTAAAGCAGGGAGATTCTTCAACTCTCACACACAGCTCAACTTAGCCTAGCTTTTCTAGTAACTCCACAGGGTGTCTCTCTGGAGCACTAAACCAATCGCCTCATTTGGGGAGGGAGGTGTAGGTGGAGATCGAAGTTATGACCAAAAACTCTCTTAGCTTCTTTTATGATTCATAACTTATTCTTGGGGCATTTAGCAGCCTTGCCACTAGTAGATTAATACGCAGCCGCATCAGCAAAATGGTTAGATATGAAATATGACATATTTACTTGAATATTCAGGAGATACAATTTTCTGCTCTCCTATATATGTCAGATAAGTGGTGTAATATATCAGGAAACTGGTCTTGACGTAAGCCATTCGACTATGGGCTCCATGTTTATGTAAGTCTTTCATAATCCAAGATATGTAATCATAAGAGAAAATGGATGTTGAATGTGGTGTCCAGTTTATAACTTATCCGGAATGTCTTTGAACTCAGTGGAGGGCTTGGTTTATGGTCTTACAATATCCCAGCTAATAGACAGCTAGGCACCAGCTAGGCTGGGGGTTTTATAGCTCTGTAGCTTTCCTGCTGTGCCTTAATTGCCTGTGACCTCTGTCATCACCCAAACCACATGTCACTCAACAGAGAGGGAGGGGGGATGATTGGAGGAGGAATCCTGCTTTGGGAGTGAGAGATGGTACAAAATGTAAGATTCTTAACAAAATGGAGGACCGCGTCCATCTCTGCGTGCACGATTGCTACAGGTAGTACATCCAAAGAGCAACTGTATATCTGTTTTCCAAGGTGTGCCATAACTGCGAGCTCTGGAAACGTAACCTCAAAACTGTTGCAGAACTTAAAAGTGCTAAGGAGTATGTTTTAAACATGAGTAAATATCTTTTCAACCATGTCAATTTATTACACAAATTGTGTACAGAAAAGACATTGTCCCTTATCTGTGTAAATAAAAATAAAAGTGAGAAATTAGTAAAAAAAAAAGACAGTTTTAAAATATGTCCTTCTGTGTTTTTAGCCTTTTTTAGTTCCAGAAAAAAAGTTTTTTTTTTCTGCTGTAGGCAACAAAGGCAAGTCATTACCATCACCAACCATTATATCAATACCTTTAAAGCAACCAAGTAGACTGGCATTAGAGGGACTGATACTTCTAGCAATAACATATATAATGTTTTTATACTTTTACTCTGAATTAAAGTGGTTGCAAATGCTCAAAGTTTTTACCATCATCATACATTCTATGCATGAAGGTAAAAAGACCTTCTATGTGCAGCAGTGCCCTCAGCTCCCCTCCAATACTTACTTAGCCCGAGCCCAAGCCAGTGATGTGCACAAGAGCCTCAGCTTTCCCGGGTCTCTCCCTCCTCATTGGCTGAGACAGTAGTGGTAGACATTGGCTCCTGCTACTGTCAATCACAGTTAGTGAGACAATGAGGAGAGAACAAGGGTAGGGCCGATTCATGCTCCATGTGTGAATGGACACTCAGAACAGTGGCTTGGGACTGAGCATGCTCGGCTGCCCCCATAGCAAGCTGCTTGCTATTGGGGCACTAGGCAGGAGGGTGGGGCCTGGAGTGTCAGCAGGGGACCCAAGAAGAGGAGGATCTGTGCAAAACCATTGCACAGAACAGGTAAGTATAACTTTATAAAGAGAGAGAGAGAGAGAGAGAGAGAGATATTATATATATATTTATATATATTACATATATATATATATACACACATATATATGTATATATATTTATATGTAAAGTGCTGCACAAATTGACAGCGCTATAGAAGTACCTGTAATAAATAAATAAGTAAAATATTGTTTGTTATTTAAAAAAAAAATAAACCTTTAATGTCAATTTAAATATCATGTTATTGAAATATAAAATATTTACTTTTCAGCCTAAAGTTGTCTGGATGAAAAATCAAATGGAAATTCGTGAAGATCCCAAATATCGGTCACTTGTCAACCAAGGTGTTTGCTCCCTTGAAATCCGCAAACCCAGCCCATTTGATGGCGGTGTGTATACTTGCAAAGCCATTAACTCTCAGGGAGAAGCAACTGTAGACTGCAGACTTAATGTTAAAGGTAAGCAGCTGTATACTTTGAAGTTTTGTCTAAGGTGTTGATGCTAGTGGTAGACAAATGGCTGAGACCTAGGTCAACCATGATAAAAACTAATATGAATTATTTCTTTAGTTATCAGTTATTTCTTTAGTATCACTGTCAGTTTTCCGCGTACTAAATTAACAGTACAACTTTTACTAGTTACAGTAATATATTTCTAGTCTATTTGCAAATGAATGACATTTCTTGTGTGTATTCCTATTATTTTCTCTGCTGCTGACTCAGCATTGTGATTAGATTGGAAAATTCTGAATTGACTTCTTATGGAATTAAATCCTGGTACACGCTACTAGTTTATTTTTCGTAAAACCCAGCGTCCTGCCTGACAGCTCAGGAGGAGCCGCTGTACTATCTGATGTTAGTATAGTGATCTCTCTCTTGCTGTGCTTTTGTGTTCTGACAAGGGGGAGGCCTCCCCGCCCGCCAAAACACCTCGGTCAGCACTCTCAGCCATCGTGAGCCGATCAACTTTTTCAATCATGCCCCTTAGGCAGAAGCCAGCCGAACGTCCGGCTGCTGCCATACACTCAGGCCAAATGGCGGGCACTTTCTATTGAATGGGGTGCCAGCAGGAGCAAACTGACAACTCATGGGGCCCCCGGGCAATAGGGGATCATGGGGTCCCTTGCCCACACTCAAAAAAGCTTATAAAAAATGTACCATGGGCATTTCATGGGGCCCCCTACTGACCCAGGACCCTCGGGCAGTGCCCGAATGCTCAAATGGTCAGTCTGCCCCTGGGTGCCAGGACCAGTTTAACCCTGATTTACAGATGCCCATTTGTTGTATTGTGAAGAGCTATGCATACTGGGTACATTATGATCTAACATATGTCTCCCATTTTTTTTTTCAGTTCCACAATAAAATATGACATCTGAGGATAATGTAAGTATTTAAATATGCACATTTATAACAGTACATTTTTAGGTGTGGTAGCAATTACAGCAGTACAGATGATTTTTAGATTTATTTATTTAATTTATTCAAATAAATATATGTTCACAGGCATGACTGTATACATTGTAGTTAGGAACATATACTCATTCCTTTTAAGGATTATTGGCCGCCTATCAGAATTCTCTGTTGAGATTTTAACAGTGAATAGTTCTCAGTGTTAATGTTTAAAAAAAAAAACCCCACAAAGCCTCTATAGGACCATTACAGCCCTATATGATGTTAGATGATGTTCTTTTCCAGAGCATGCTGCTGTTCTTTGTCATTTCATACCCACGGGACAATTTTTAGCAGGGTCAGAGACCTGGAATTATCATCAACATTCTTAGTGGTGTGCACTTATTGTGGAGCACAAACCATTACGCCAACATAGTTCAAATACTGATTAGGCCACTTGTAGCCCTGTGAAGACATTTAAAAAATGCACTGCTAGGGCGGAGGACCCAATTCAATCCTTTGTTTAAATCAGCAATTTAATTCATTCAAGGTGCAACAAAAGAAAAGCCGTTTAATTCTTTAGGCCTCATGCATTATGTTTTATATGCTGCTTTTAAAGGTGTATTTATTTTTCTGCCTCTAAACACCCCTCGGTAATTGTCCACGTGTCCATACACACATAGGCATTTACAGGCAAGGGCATTTAGAGGCAAAAAAAAAAACAGTCAGCATGTTCTGGAAGTAGAAAAAATGCATCTAAACGTGTCTAAATGCACTTAAGCACTAGGCACATCGAGTGCTTGGGCGTTCATTCATTACATTGGCCTGAAAAAATTAGTAAAATAATAAAAGCAAGGAGAAAGGTATTTAGAAGACTGGGCAAATTGTACTTGAGGCCTTAAAGTTCATGTTCTTTCTAAGGCCCCTTTCACAGGAGTGAACCGATGGGGTCCACATGTCCATTTTTCAGGCGGACCGAAACAGTCCATCCATAGACTTCTATGGAACAGCAGGAACCCGTCGGCATCTGATCTGATCCTGTACACCAAAAACAGATGGATGGGGATCCGTTCCACATCCATCTAGCAGATCAAATGACAATCAGGGGAAACGGAGAGGTGGTCTGTTTCCATCTGACCATCCCATTGAAATCAGCGGGCAGTGTCTGTGTCTGCTCTGCAGCAGCAGAGAGGACAGGTCATCTGCCTGCTTAGCAGGGATCAGTGGAGAGATCAAACACTGAGCAGGCAGATCACGTTAATGGATCTGCCCCATCTGAAAGGGCCCTAAATCAGCCACAGCTTGAGTAGAAAAGTCAGACCCCTGCCAGCCACTGCATAGTGGGACTTTTGCTTGCTGTGTGGGAAAATTGATTCAACTGAAAATCGATTGTGGGAAAATTGGGAGGTTCAACACCCCCCTACTGAGTCAGACCTAAAGCACTCCCTCTTTTTCCGATATTGAGACCATTCTGTCTTGACAGAGATGTTTGATGGCTTTTCCTGAAAAATCATCTTGTAACCATTTTGGGCTTTTTTCTGGACCCATTGGTCTACAATATTCCTTCCTCGTCCCCCCCCCCCCCCCCCCCCGGGCCGGTCTATATGATCTGATTTCTCTTGTTCTTCTGAAGTTGGCCCGTCCCAGATGAAAGGTCTGCTGTCTCTTTTTATTCCTTTGTGGTAGAAGACCTGGTCTTCCTCCCCTAATTTAATGGCCTCCTCTAGAGTCTTGGGGGGGGGGGGGGGTGAAGTTCTTAATTTCTGCTTCATTGATGGTAGCCTGGACTCAACACAAATAGAGAACAGGTGAAGAGGGGATCAATCTTCCAAAGGAGGCAACAACCTACTTGGTTGTCATTTGTAGGCAGTTACCCTTGTAATAAGAAGACCTGTAAAAACTGCCATGTAGGTGTGACAGGCAATATATTAATTATGGCACAAATTTTGTGGTTTACTTAATTACTTGTTTATCTTATAAACTACAATATGTAGGATGTACTACTAATGCTAAGGACAGGGATTGGGGAACACTTCTGTGACACCAATAATGCTAATGCTAATTGTCACGGTGGTGATCTCAGGTTTCAGGTTCAATGGCATGGAAAGGCTGTCTCAGAGGAGGTGATAGAGAGAGGAGACTTTATAGTAGGGAGGCATGCTGGATTTTTAAGTTACAGACCAGATCTCCCCAAGTGTTAAATGTCAGATGGGACTTGGCTTTACATTTACAATAATGTCTCTCCCTGCTTTTCTTCAGTTGTTCTCTCTCCTCCATCCTCTTCAGCATATGTACGTGTGTATGTATATTCTTTTATATTTCTTTCTTGTCTTATTTTTTAGGTTAATGTTTTTCAATATATTGGTTGCTGGCTGTGTCTGTCAGCTATTGAATATTCTGCCATTAGGCTAACTGGTTAATCAATGGGCTGGACCAGTGCCTTTGCCACCTTATATATGTACTTTGCATGTTTCATGTTCCACTAAGGATTATGATTATGCACAGTGGCGGTAGTGCGGATCAACCTTTTCTTCAGGGAGGGGAGGGTCTCTCTTTCATTTCTGCTAGGAAAGGTGGTCCTGAGTGTTCGGAGGAGTAAACCCAGGTGTGCTGACATGAGGACCAGCCAGGAAATAACCCATGAGTTTCAACATGTTTTTTCTTCAGCATTGGAGTCTTGCTTGTTGAGTGTGTGTACAGGCCATGGCGGTTGAGTGCATTACTTATTGTTTTCTTTGAAACAAATGTACCTGCTAAGCCCAGGTCTTTCTGAAGCTCTCCACAAGTGGTCCTTGGCTCTTGGACAACTCTTCTTCTGATAATTCTTTTCACTCCTCTTGCGAAATCTTGCAAGGAGCATCTGGTTGGGGCCGGTTTATGGTAAAATTATGTTCTTTCTACTTCTGGATTATGGCCCCAACAGTGCTCACTGGACCATTCAGAAGTTTAGAAATCCTTCTGTAACCAATGCCATCAGTATGTTTTGCAACAGTAAGGTTGCAAAGGTCTTGAGAGAACTCTTTGCTATTACCCATCATGATGTTTCTTGTGTGACACCTTGATAATGAGACACCGTTTTACAGGCCATCAGTTGAGACTGAACCAGCTAATATTAATTTGACTGACAAGGGACAGGATTGCTTTCTAATTACTGATAGATTTCAGCTGGTGTCTTGGCTTTCCATGCCTTTTTCCATCTCTCTTTCTTCATGTGTTCAATAGGTTTTCCCTCTGCCATTCCATTTTATTACACACAACTTAATTTCTGAAGTGCCGCAATGGCGTCTGATACCAGTCTTCATCTACACTCAGGGCTGGAACTGATGCCAGAAGAGGAAGTGGGCAGGCATACTTGTTTCGGGGTCCACCCATTTTTGAAACCCATCTAAAAAGGGGTGGAGCCCTGAAACGTGTATGCCGACCCACTTTCTCTCCTGACATTGGTTTCAGCCCTGAGTGTAAGGAGGCTGGTATCAGATGGCTTTGTGGCATGTTTCCTGGTGGGTATGGTTCTCCATCACCCAGCTCATCGATCCTTGCAGGTCCTTGTTGCTGTGCTGTGGATTTTTACCCTCCACCTCAATGCTGCTCTTCCAAGTGTAAGTTCGGATAATTTTGTTTGAATAAATGTTGGCATTTTTACTGATTCGTCACTTTGGTACCTCTGTTTCCTTATATATCTTTTGGTGCAGTGGGGGTTAGTAGAATTGAGAGAGCTATCATTTGTACTCATTAAGAGTGCTCAACTATGCCCTCCTTTCTGCCCATCTCCTCCATTCATAGAATCTATACTACAGTTTATATGAATGAAAAACAATCACTGAACGGAGGGGGTGGACCTTTCAGTCATCCAACCCTTTTCTATTCATAAATTGTATTTAATTCATAGAAGCTGTAGTACAGCTTCTATGAATGGAGGAGCTGGACAGAAGGGACAGGCATAGTCGGGCCTGTGACAGGTTCTATTAACTCCCGCCACACTGGAAGGTTACACAGTTACAAAGTTGGTTAGATTGAATAAAGACATCAGTCCATCCAGTTCAAAGTGTGTATGTGTGTGTGTTTATCTCACATTACAACAGGGTTGGGGGGATATAGATGGAGGAGAATA